TAGTTTTCAGCCTGAGTGCGTAGGGAAGATGGAACAAACGTTTGGCGTTCATTGTTCTGCGTTACGCAGTATCGCAGTGTCCAGTTGACGCTGCCGGCGACTACTTGGAGACTTCATGTTAGTTTATCAAATACTATACTGAGGAGCTCCTGGTCACGTATGCCGCCACATTTTGAAACTCAGCCCGAACACCCATCTTAGATGCAGTGGCCTGTAACGGAGTAAACAATACACTCGTCTACATTGTCGACAAACTTATTTTTCCCTCTGTGTCTGCCAAACTCAGTTGTCTGTGCCCCCAAGTAACACATTAAAAAACGACTGGATATCATATTGACGCAGGTAATTCTGCGCAGACGGGTGAACCATCCGATTGCTATTTGCATTGACAATAACAACTAGATAATCGGTTTCGCATGATACCATTTCATCCCTCCAATAGTATTATTTTATGCCATTACTAAATCTATTCACGTATGCGCGTTTTAGTCTGCTTATGTAGTATTCGAAGCTCTGCATTAACGTGAACTAAAATACTGAGCTACTGACTGTGTATATGCTGCAAGCATAGTTAATTCAGAGGAACGAGACTGGTCGCTTTCGAACCCCGTGTGCTTCCACGACAATCTGGTAGGAGGATCCCAGCCCGTCAGTTGGTGGTTAGTAATAGACTATCTGGTGCCGCACTGGAAAAAAAAACACTGAAACCACGCTGTCCCCGTTGGATGTCACATTCTATACCATTTCCCGGCCAAGTTGTCTCCTTGGGCAACAAAAATAATCTGAGGGGGCATTCAACATGAGTCTACTCAATTAATTTGTTCCGTGCGTACGCCAGTCACTTATGCAGGTGTGTATGTGTGCGTATATAGCCCGTCGCCTTCAGCCAATTGGACCTCAGACGCACTAACTCATAGGGGTGCAGGTGGGACGCTTCAGCTCCTACGCACGGAACAAATTAATTGTGTAGACTCATGTTGAATGCCCCTCAGATTATTTCTGTTGCCCAAGAGAGCAACTTGGCCGGGAAATGGTGTAGACAACCACCTAATTTGACGTGTACTGTTTTACTAATATTTCACCTGATTTAGTAAAGACATGAGACCACCAGTTAGTGACATGGCGAAAGAAAATTGATGGAATAATTTTAGTGAGTAACATAGGTAGAATGACCGGGATCCGTCACATTGGTGGCTATCTCTCACCGTGATGCCGCATCGGAAGTACCGAGGCTTCTGCGCAACGTGACCATCAGCAGTCCCGAGCGCAATAGCGATGCTGCAAAGTCACCCGACCCTGCGAACTATGGATCAAAAGTCAGGCGTCTGAACACCACTCGGGTACAGACTGGCGGTTATCTGCTTTATTAGACATAACACAGCCGCGAAGTCAGTGCTTCGAATTCTGACTGGTTTTTGCATCATGTCCACCTTGTACTATCCGGAGAAGTGTCGTGATAAACTGGCAAAAGTGGCAGCATTGGTAATTAATGCAATCAACGCTGGGTGCATTGGAGCACCGGCCGCATGTGGAAGCTCATCACAATCACAGCGGGCAAGCAGTAATGCAGAAAATGAGACATTTTGCGTGCTTTTTATTCAACTATTTGAAGCACACTGCAAGTGATCCAACATGGATGGAAATTGCCAGCTAACTGATGCGACACGTGCGAAACAGGGATGAGGAAACAGCTCCAATATGAAGCGGAAGAGAAAATTACATCATGTGAAGTTCCGTGCATATTCGAAGAAAACTGAGTTTTATATCACGAAAAGGAAAACAGCTTTGGAAATTTCAGAAGACTTTAGAGAGTCGAGATACGTGGGTCATCTAACGTATACTGCAGGACTAGATATTGTGGATACCATGATGCTCATGACGAACGTGCCGTCAGTACCGGGAGAGATGAGTCCAAGCCCATGGAAAGCATTGTCAAATCGAAATTGTCAGGTTTGCACAACGCACTCCCGCTTAGATCCGCGGTTACTTGTGGGTCACCTGCCAATAAGAAGCTTGGATGATCACCCAATAGACGGGAGACTTGAGTGAGGAAACGACCAGCCGTTACTTCGTCCACATAGCGCGAGTCGATGGACATGGTGAGTGTCATCTTGTTGGCGAACCGGATACGCTCATCACACACATCGACCGGTTTCTGGACACCGCCCCCGACAGCCAAGATAGCCACCTGCGGTGGATTGATGATAGCCGTGAATTCTCGGATTCCGAACATCCCAAGGTTGGAAATGCTGAGAGAAACGGGAGAAAAAGAATGAGGAAGAAACGCATTACTTTCCAGTACACGCTTCTCAGTTCGGTTCGGTCGGTGAGCTGTGATACATACACTAAAGAGAGCCGGATCCAAGCGCTGGAACTCGTACCACTGTGATAAACATATTATAACTGATACGGCGAATGATGAGGCGCTGTGGCCGATTCTCTCAAAGTTAAACACCACGCTGTTTATTCGTCTAAATGAATGCCTGCATACTGGTATGCGAGCGAGGGTGCAGTTGAGTGGACAGAACTCATATGACTTTGAAGTTGTCTCTGGTGTAAAGCAAAGAATGCATCTTAGCCCTCACTATGTTCTATATCTGACTACCGTGATGTTGTGCGCACTCAGTACATGTGAATACGGTGTGCGTCTGAAGCAGTGCATCGATAGGATTGTGCTGCTGCTTTAGAGCAAGAATCCTGGTGCGTGAGACAACAATTCGGATGCTGCTAGTTACCGATGACTGCGTGCACATACCGAGGAAAAATTGCTACACATGACGACTACATAAGCTTCTACGGTGACCAAGTTCGGACTCGGCATAAACACAGGCAAGACTGTATGCCTGTTTCAATCGGCACCAGGAGTGGAGACAATGTACAGTTCGGAAATACGGATTTCTGGTGAAATGCTATAGAACATGTCGGCATTCTGTTACTTCGGGAGTACGATGTCAACCGACCAGCGAATCACCGGCGAGCTGCGCTCTTGTGTAGCGAAGGCGAGTGGGACTTCTGGAAAACTAAAATATCAGGTGTGAAAGAATCATCGTTTCACCAACCAACCAAGGTGATGGTGTATAAGTCGATGGTCCTCTCGATCTTTATCTATGGAGCGGAAACATAGAGACTACACAGAAAGGATATCTGGTATCTGAAACGATTCCATCAACAGTGGCTGCGCATGAAGTGGTGGTACAATGCGCCTGATACTGACGTCATCCGCCGGAGCGACGTATACACTGGTGTCACAGCTCAGGTGGCTAAGACATGTGCGCAATTTGGATGCGACGAGAATACCGAAGCAAATGCTGTGCGGGTAACTGAGTGCAGTCAATCGGGATGTAGGCGAACCAAAGTTGCGCTGCCCAGACAACAGAAATATTAGTTTGTCCCGAATAAATAGTAACCTAAGGGATCTGGAGGAGTTGGCAAGGAAAAGCCGATGTTGGCGTGATCTCATCATACGGACCGTAAGGCAAGCGCACGTAAGACAACTGGTGAATACGGAACATAAACTTGCGGCTCGCAAACGTTAGCTGCCAATGAATCATAATTCATTGGTTACTTCCACATGGAGCTGTAGTGCATGCGGCCGTGTTTGCCTTAGATCAGCCGGTCTAGACAGTCACAAGTGAGGCCACGATGGCACTATGCCAAACAGGTTCAATGTAGCCCACGGAGGGACACCTTTACTTACCTGTTAGTCGGCATGTGCGGAAGGTGCACGTTAGTTGGCAAACATTGTGTAGGAGGGCAAAACGGGACGCAATACCCGTTCTCTCGCAGCATCCGGGGAGATTATTTGGGATGACACTCAAGTAAATTATCGAGGGTTGCAGTGCAGCGACAACCACCCAGAGTATCACACAAGGCGAAAGCGTTCTCTACTTGTCTGAAGGAAGAGATTTACGGGGCAATCTGGACGCCGATTCCCCCATACGAGTGCCCAATGCTGAGGTTGATATTGCATACACCGTGATTTTTCACGGTTGTTAGGCTACGCCGAGTTACCGTTACTCCAGTTCCGCCTTAATCCTATTACTTTACCCTGCTCAGTACTGTGAGTGTATTTCGCATATGATACCACAGTCTCGTTCTCATGCTTAGTTGCGATGCCCTTACAGTTCAGCGTAATGTTATGCTCGATCTGCCCTCACTGACACAGAGCCATACGACGATCGACAATCGGACAGCAATACAACGGGGCCCCACTCAGTAACCTGTGCGTCTCGGCGGACGGACCAAGTCACCGGACGGGAATCCTAACGAACGCCGACTGATGATTCAGGCGGAACGCAGTTACCGTTTAAATTTGTCAATAGATCGATTCCAATTGTGTACTTATTATTATGTATGCGATTCCACGTAACTTGACGAATATGATTGTTAGTCTTAACTCCAATACAAACCCATGTATGCTCGTATTAGTATCGCCCTTGAGGGAAAGGCTTTCCCATTAGTTTGTAGCAGTTCATACGCAAGTGAGCATACGTGAGTGTACAGCATTAAGACCGAGGCTGATGAAGCATCTGGCATGCTCTGTCGTATCAGTCTATATAAAATAGACTTGTGGTACACTACTAATGAGTAGCAGAAACGAGGTTCAAAAAAATCAGGGAAATCATGGATTGCCGTGGACGGAAGAATATTGCGCAAATCAACCAGATTAATAAAACGTGACGCAGAAATCTGCCACCACCGATACCGAATGAAGGGACGTAGTTGCACCGCGAATCAGAAATGTACCACGAAAGAAATGCGCAAATGAACCCGATTTTCTATTTTCAAACCGCTATAATCACTAGACGCATAACTCGTCTGCGCCGCGTTGCATTTTCAACAGATTGCCTGTCTGTCTATCGGACGTGCGCTTGATACACTAAACCTTCCGTGTGTAACAGGTGGAAGCGATTGTTGTGAGTGTTGACAATGTGTCTAACACCCTCCACCTCGATTACTGGAACCAGCAGACTGCCAATCGTTGCTTGGTGCACGGCACTAAGCTTAAATGGTGGTTCCATCTGGTGTGGAGCAGGCTACGGTCCAGGCACCGACTTGTGTACGTCTGGTACGCACGGTTCCCAAATTAGATAGACGGGAGTCTTGTTGCCGTGCATGTTGTAGGGTAGTAGGCCGGCTGCGTTGATGGAACGTGGTTTCCATCCATATGCCCCCGGTTTTATTCCTTCGGGTTTACACTGGACATGGGGTGTGTGTGGGTGGAGCTGTGAGTGATGCAGCGCAAACCATCTATGATCCCTCTGTAAGTGCAGGCCTCCTATGGCGGTCCCCATGGAGGCCACAGTGACAGGAAAATCTCGACGAATGCCGGCAATCCGACCTAACATATAACAATGTCGGTGGCTTGGCTTCGGAGAACAACAGCAAGGAAATCCAAAAACGGCTGTCACCAGCTACTGCTTTGGTCTCTACGTAGGCTGCTGAGGTGCTTCTGCTCAGTATTGTACACAATAACACTTGGGAAGTTGTCAATGCTGTTACTGTTACGATACTGTTGCAACGTGAATAGTGCGGTAATCGAACAACAATAGAACAATAATTCATTACGGGTAAAAAAGTAAATGCTTAACAAGTCCAGTTGAATGGCCAGAATGGAAAAAACACAAAATGGAGAAAACAGTGATTACACTGACGTATGCGTAAAAGAGCCTGTTTCGATGGTGTAGGCTAATGCTGGTTGGCGCACCGTCTATCAAGCCATATCGTCTCTCGGTGTACACAGGTTAGATCTCGTAATGTAAATGGACTAGGGTAACGTCAAGGTGTTGTTTAAACACCAACGAAGTGGGAGAAGAAACAACGTAATTAGGAAGAGCATTCCAAGGCTGACACACACACACACACGAAGGGAGTACAAGTTTTGGTGAAATTCTAGCCGGCTGTATTTTGCGGCAAAATAGAACACGTAGCCCCCCAGGTTCAGGTTGTAGCCAAGTTGCAGCAGAGGTAGCTGGGAGTCCTCAGAATCTGTTAGCTCATTGTTAAATCGCCACATAATCGACTAAGTCGACAAAGAAGGCGGAACAATCCAGTAACTGTGTTTCGTGCCTCTTCGCTGTGGAGTCTCGAGCGCTGCGAGATCTTGCTTGTGCCAAAGCTGTCAGGCCTGGATTGCGTATTCCTCATGAGACTACACGTAGGTGGTTAGCATCTGCAAGCAGACAGATGGTCTGAACCGCCTAAATGCTCTCAGCAGGATACTAACGTGTTGCTTTCTAGTATTTGGCACTTTCTCAGATTGTGCTGAGTAACCCTGATCAGTCTGGGTTAACAGCTCAAGTTCGCGCTTCTGAGTGACTACTTGAAGGACTTAGTCTCCATACTCGTAGGTGCCTTCGCATAAGCTGTGTCGCGTTCGAAATGCTCTAGCGACCCCTTCTCAGTACTCTTCCGACTGTGCTTGTATTGTAGACCTCGCCTCTCCTACCACCTCCCTCTACCCCTTTCCTCCCTTTCTCCGCACCCTATATTTATCCTTACACTCTTGTCATCCTTCTCACTCTTCACCTTGACTAATGTGCTTCTCCCTCCACATCCATCCATCTTATCTTCTTTATCATCTCTTCTTTCTCCCACCTGCCCCTTTTCTCTTTTTCACTTTCACCCCTACCTCTCTGCTCAATCCGTCCCCCATTCTCCCTTTTTTCGTCTCCTCTGCACCTCCACTCTTCTCTCCCTTCACATGCTGACTCACTGCTCTGACTCTCATTTTTCTCTTGTCTTTGTTCCATCGATTGTTTCCTTCACACCGAGCATTTGACTCTCCCTTTTCCTCCCTCTACTGCACTCTCTATCCTATACTCCCCTCTTTTATCTCCCCCTCACTGTTCCTTACTCCCACCCTCCCCTTCTCCGCTCCCCCCACCTCTCTTTTCTTCCCGTTTTTTCTTCTCTTTACATCTCTATTCTCTCACGACCTCTCTGTTTATGTGTGCCCTTTCGCCCCTCTGTCTTATTGTCGTCTCCACATCGTGTGAATCACCCTTACGTCTTACCTTTCCCTCGCATCTTCACTTCGCCGCTCCACATGTCTCACTCTTTTCTCTCACTCCACCCTGCCTCTTTCCTTCTCCGGGTGTCCCTCATATCTTTCTCCACCTCTGTGTCCTCCTTCACTCTCGCGTGCCGTCTCCTACATTTCTTAGCACTCTGGTGTACAGTTGATGCTTTCTACACCCATCTCTACCACCACGCGTTCGTCCATGCTACTCCCCCTCCCCTCTTCCTCCTACACGCGCGCCGCCCCTCACTTCAGCCTTTTCTCTTTTACGGCCTCGCCGCCGCTCACCTCCCAGAAGCTTTCCTCGACCTCCATATAGTGGATACCACACAATACATAACTCTATTAGTCCAAGGCTCCCATCAACGCGATCTCATTCGCCTCGCCAGTCCCGATACTGCAGACTGTATCCCAAGTTGTGCTTGCTGAGACTATATTTGCGTGCACTATCGCACACCACTAATCTCATACACCACGCATCACACGCCAAACCCGCCTCCTGAGCGCATAAGCCTCAGATAGCGTATGAGATACTCCTCCGCACCGTCCGGCGATCTGCCCTCTTTCAACTCGAGAGGCCCATAGTAGATATACATGATCTGCGTACAGCTCCGCCGTCACCCTCTACACTCCCAACCCCGGATCGGCCCACACTCCTTCACAGGCAAACACAAGCACGCTGTATTTGGGGAATCAAGCGCACAGAAGGCGGTGGCTGGACCGTAGTCCGCTCCACACTGAGTGCATAGAACCGCTCTTTGAGCCTAGCACGGCCACAAGGACCGTGCACCCCGTCCCCTCCAGCAACGACCAACTGTCTCCTGTAGGCAGTATGAACGAGGTAGTGGGTAATAGACAGGCACCTTGTCAACATGCACATCAAGCGCAGCCACACCGGGGATATCAAGCAACAGCCATTTATTTTAAACGACAAGCTGAAATAAGATAAATCCAATAATGCATACAGATACGGTGGCATAACTCTTCCATAAATGACCATATGAAGTAACTTGGTTAGCAACAAATCCGCGATAAGTAAGTAAGTAAAAAAATGCTACAAACACAACAAAATTACCGAAGATAAGCGCAATTAGTGTAAGCAACGTGGCCAGTTAATAGAACATTATTCAGGTAGGCAGAACAAACCAAATAAAGTGGAATGGAATTTATCCAGCTTAAAAAGACCTAGTTTAAGTGTAAGTTGGTTTAGCCCAACTACGGTGAAGAAGCATCAAGAATGCAACACCAGCTTCATGGGGCACACATCTATTAGGCTCATCATTAAGATCATAAATCTTACTGATTTCTTCAATATTCAGATTTAAGGCCAGTTAGCACTAAGTAATAATTCACCACCTGGTCCCCAATGTCGACAAAGATTATATTCCACTCGTCTCAGTCGTTATCGATTCGGTGGCCCGATGTATTTAAGCTGTTGGCATGGCCGCTATAAACAAATTCGCTGAATGCAGTCTAATCTACTGAATATCGATAAATAGCTGTACGAATTAGCTTCGCACTGTCTGAAGATGCAGTGTCTGGTTATCATGTCGGTGCGCAAAACAACCAGCTACAAACGATCAAATACGGCTATTTATCGGTAGGTCACACGTTGATCGGCATGGCGAAGAACACGGATATCGTGATTGTCGCGAACCAGCAGTATCACGACGACGAAATGGTCACCAATCACTGAAAGTGATCAGTGGATTCAATTTCCTTTGTAGTTGTATCACCTGCGGTGACCGCATCATCAAGGTTACCTTAAGCAGATGTGAACCCCATGAAGCCATTCTGAAGGTTAACCGTTTATGCAGACAGCAGGATGTGAGCTTGTCAACCAACGGGTGGCCAACAATGTACTAGTCGTTATGAATCAGAGACCTGACTACTTCCCGCTAAGGATATTAAATGACTGCAACAATTAGATCCCTTTGGTAATTTGAATAAAGTCATAAGAAGACGAACACTGGTAGATGTCAACATTTGTCTCTTCAGTGCTAACACCATATCATGAGAACATACAAGACGACAGGCAGGGTGAGACCGGAACAAGTTAGAAGAGGGTAGAGGGCAGGCGGATACCCCTACGCCCAGGGAAGTCGTAGGATTGCGAACAACTCTTTCTGCACACAGAGTGCGAGTCCGATAAGGCTGATCGCGACTGCCTCTACGAAACGTAGGAAACGGGCGTTAAGATGTCTTAACACGACTGTAAACATTGTGGCCGGATCAAACAGATGACAGGTGGCCAGTAAATGACTATCTATGAATAATGCAGGTGGCCTACGTGAACAGTTGGTATGAGAAACCGACGAGTGGGGGATTTGACGCTGCAACCATTTAGGTACACGTTCCCTTATTCTGGAGTTCAACGTTCTGTTGGTATGGTCGATGTAGCGTGTACGATAACTACAAGTAAACTGGTAAACAAAATGTGGGTTGGCGCCAACAGGTTGTCTTTCCATCATTAGGGTAACAGGTATTCGACTATTCCGGTCAATAAGAAGAGTTTCAGCAGTATAATAAGTCACTGGAATGCGGAAATTATGCGCCTCGTTGTCCTCATATTGGCAAAATCACCCTTAAATGGGAGCACGATGTGTTGGCACTGAAGACACCATAAGAAATGTTGACATCTGCCAGTCTTCTTACGGTTTTGTTAAACGACTGAACGTTTTTGATCATCTGTGCTTGCAGAACATCACTAAAATCTGGTAGAATCGACGGGTGAAAAATACTGACGTCTGCCAGCTGGTGTTGGTAAAAAAAACCCTCCGTTGATTCGCTAGGATGCGTGCTAAACTTGAAATGCTGCCATTGGCTAGGTCATATTCTGCGTGTTAACTAAATGGTTTCCACGGTGCATGGTAAAGGATGTAGCTGCGTCTATTTCGTAAAATAGTGAGATAATGTCCTCGTGTGACTGTCCATCGGCTTCCTTGGCGTGCACCATATGCCGTCGTTGAAATAAGCTGGGCGAAACCGTGAGGTCTGTGGCCTGCCAATACAAGCGGGGAGAAACCGAACGTGCGTGTCGTCTTCGTGGACAGGGGCCCCGAGATGATCAACGCCAATGGTTAGACCCTCTATCAAACATGATTCCGCCATGCAGTCAGTGGGGTTCCTGCATGCAGTTTCTTGTATCCAGCTGTTAATTTTCCATCACGATTAGTTTTGCTCACTTTCACGTCGGTTGAATTCTGTTTTCGTTCAAAGTCATTTCATTGTTATTCACTGATTTTTGAAAAAGTGAATTGTGGAAACCAGATCCATTGCAATTCGGTGATTGGATCATGGTTGTTAAGTGGACTAACAGAGTGACTTCATTTCTGCTTACTAACATAGCAATTGTCCCCGCTCGAAGCGCATGATATTCAGTAACAAGTAAAAAGACCGTCGCCACTAAGCGGTGGGCTATCGTACGTTATATTTGACCGACTCAACGGAACTTATTTGTTGTTATACACAACGGAATTCATGCATACCGTCAAATGCTGTGTTGCGCAGACCTCACCAATGGGGGCACAGTGGAAATGGCTTAACATTCAGGGCGTTCTGGACCTTCAAGCGAAGGGATCCGATATCATTTTCTGATAGGAAAACCGACTTTACAGTGGTTTTATATACACGACTACAAAGACCATAGGAGGCACTTTTGGGTGCCAATGGCCATAGTCGTCACTGCTTTTCAATCTGAAGATCAACTGGAAATTTAATTTGGGTGGATATAATTCAAACAATGAATGATACGCGAGGTCAATAGGCCCAACAATTCGTCTCGCGAAACGGAACGGACAAGATTTTTCGATACTACTGAAAAAAAATCCCCTACTCATGAGTACTACTGAAACAGATTGCTTGAATATCAGAATAAAAGTAAATGAGACGTGAGTTCCGCTCTTCCAAAGCCAGTAAATTGTTCAACAGAATAGCAGAATGTCATGTGACAGAATCCTATGGGTGTGGTGCAGCGAGGCGCGTAAAAACACGACTCAAGAACGGGAACGTGATTGCGTGAGATGACCGGTAAGTTCTCGGAGGGTCAGGACAAGCAGGAAGGGAAGAAAGTCAGATTCGCCAGTGAATAATGGAAGTTCTGCCAAGCAACGTGTCAAGCTATTACAATAAAACAAGTGGCATATTTCGTTGATCAAACGTTCAGTGGCAAAAACTGCTAACTATCCCCCTCGGAGAGACGTGTAATGAGTCTATACTTGTGGTTTACAATACTAACAAGTGTGTACTGTTTTTCGCAGCGAACGCAGGGAGAATACGTCACACACACACGTACCCGTACACACACATACACACACTTGAGATGATTGTTGCACGAACATTGGAAACAAATTTCGATTGACCGCTGAGCCTCGTAATGTACTAACTGAGGTGAGAATTGATGTACGAGGCCGGGGAAAGTGATAAATGCACCCACCTGAAACTACGTCATCTCAGGTTCAGTTCCGAAGAATCTAGAGATGAAGCTGGTCACGGAACATATCATGGGGGAAAATATAACAAAAACTAATAAGTATGGGGTAAAATCGGGCCATAACATCCCATGGCGGACTACGGTTCTCTTACGTGAAAGATCCGCCTTGGAATTCATTGGGCTGTAGCTTTCCCTCACGGGCCTTAACCGCCAGCGATGATGCCATCACAGACAACTGGGAAATTGGGACGCGATCCGCATTTCGTAAAATAGGCGCTATCAAGCCAGCAGGAGTAGCGACTGCCATACAGATGTCCACGGACGATTGTGGTACAAGTACCTTGCGAGCTGAATCAGTGACTGAGTTTAACTGGGGAACAAGCTGTGAAAAAGAAAGTCGAGGAAAAAAGAGACAATATCGAACACTGCGGCTTACACGACCGGATGTAGACATATACGTACAACGAATCTTAAACTGAGTGATTCACTAACATGAAATTTAACGACGCGGAAAGGCTTGGTAATCAGATTTGTGATGCTCCTAACAAATGGAATCTAAGATGAAGTCACTTCCCTTGGTAAATAACCAGGTGAAGTAACCCAGTTGCAAATGCATCGGTGTATTTTTTATCGAGTACAAATCATCATTTTGTGTAGATGGGAACATTTCTTTCAAACTGGACAAATACGGCAGACGTGTCTGAATGGTATGCTCATCAGCGATGATGAAGAATCAGTCGATTAGCGCAGTAGTTAACAATCAATTTCACCGTTGTACTGTCATGCGGATATTGTGCTGAAGATGGCGCCGCGGTTGCACACAAAAACACTACGCGTTTGTATGAGACCGTCCAATATATATATATATATATATATATATATATATATATATATATATATATATATGTTGACCACAATCTGTGTACAGATATTGTGCCATCGGGACTGTGGCGGAATAGGGAAACAGGATCAGAGTAAAGAAAGGAAAATAAGCAATTTTTGTCCATTTTCCCACTCACGGTTTGTTTAGTTATTTTTGGATGTTTTTAATGAGGGAGGGAAGGCAATCACCGCAACAAACAGATATACATGGCTTCTAAGGTTTTCAACCAGCGGCAGTCAGCATCTTTAGGACCCCAGCAAGAAAGCCGAGAAGAACCAACCGATGTCAGGTGTTTTGTTAGCTTTTTCATCCTGCTTCTCTAACTTGTAGGTTGTCCACCATGCCGCTTTCTCCCGCCTTGTCCAGCGACCGCTAACAAGGAACGACACAGAAGAAGGTGAACGGGCATACGCAGTAGGTACCGTCCAAAATGGAGAAAGGTAGATTTCAGTGGCTTAGCGATTAATGCGTTAGCCGTCAACCACTACGCCCCGCGATTCTAATTCCAGCTCATACTATCTCTATCTGAACGGTCCAAGCAATGATTTATATAAATAAACAAGTTATCCTCGAAATGCACGAGTCACGCCTTGATAGGCATGAGTAGTTAAGTACAGACTTTGCAATGAGCATGAAATATTGCGTGAGTGCTTATCAGATAAGCGAATGATACACTAATCAGTAATGGTGATAGCGTGCGGGTGATGATGTTGATGTGCCGGCTGTACGCCGTAAAGGCGCTTCGTTGTTGCGCAAACCACCACCAGTCGTGCGGGCTGCATACCGCAAGGATGCCCACCCCTAACCAGATTCGCACCGGGGACCTTCTGGTAGCAAACCAGGCGCGTAGATCATTCGGCCACCGGGTGCCCAAACTGAATAGGTTCTTTGAAGCCTGTTAAGCTCAAAAGTATGTTTATGCCATGCTACTTCGAATAGTTGGTAAAAATTCTCGAGGAAGAAGACCGTAAGGCTTACATAGTGCTTCAAGACACAACTGAATATCCGGCGATCAACTGTTGATCGCAGCAAAAAGTTCCTCGATTGGATTGGTGTCTCCATTACAATGAAACACGCGGTGAAACAGAATTGTCATCTGGTTGGTTCGCTAAATCCTCACAATTTGTAGAGGTGAGACCGCAGAGAAAAATCGGGTCCAAATCATAGCCATGAAACACTAAGAGACGACGTGATGATGGTTGCTTTGAACATAAAGAAGACTAAAAGTTCAGTGATAGCCGCGGATTGGTGACCTTTCAGGGGTGGCAGGACAGTGGACAACTCATAGCTAAGTGAACGTTGCAAATCGATAGAAGGGAAAGGGAAAGTTTTGGTCCTCCGATTGCAGACTGAAGATCACCGGGGTAACTCCAGGAAAATCGTATGTCCAAGTGCTCTTGTGGTAATGAGAAGGGCGGAGCCCAATCGTTCAGGTCACAAAGAAGATTTCCGTCCAAGTGGTAAGCAGTAAGAGAATGTCGACAGAAATGTACGTCATTCATTCATTACGTAAGATTGAAAGTGAAAAGTGTTAATCCTTCGATTAAATGCTGAAATCCAGCGGAAGTCATCGAGGCAGTTCCAAATGAGTAGTTTGTGAGGGAATGCGGGGTTCGGAGCGAGCGACACTGAAAACACCAGATCGATAGGTATTTGTAAGCAAGATGCGCAGAGCAACATGACGAATGGGAATGATCATTGATACGTGATACATCACAAGTGATGCCAGTCTAAAAACGGATTCTTATCTGATTACAAGTTCGCCATCATCTATCATAGTTCATCGCCGCTCTGCGCGCACATGGACACGCGTAGGACGACGGGCACGCCAACAATGCTTATGCACTATAACAGTCAAAGGTAATATGCCAATGAAGAAGATATGGGGGAAAACGGCGAGAAATTCGGCACTGCGTTTATGGACGGATGTTCTGCTAAATGAACAGATAGCTGATAATTGGGAACGCAAAAGACATGGTACTCCTTGGGTTGCATTGCGGCCCCACGGAGAAACCGATAAGTTCGGTAAATGCACTGCACTAGTAGCATGCGAAGTCCCATGGCCGAGCATACTCTAGGGGAATAACACACGTGTTTCACATATGGTGATCATGTCGTTCAACGAGCGTACACCGGCATCAGGAAAAATGAAAGGTTCCAAGGAGAGCACTGAAAGGACAACGAATAGCCAGTAAAGTTTAGATGTGTGAACCTGCGGTTTTATCATAACTTTTACGGAAAAGATATAAAGCGCCACTAGAATCAGGAGCTGGTCAAACATTAACTGGCCCCAATCAGTGAAATGTACGAATCTTCGGGGCAGAGGTTTGTAAACAATGCACACATCGAATTTATCCTAGTCAAAAGAGGTGAATCGGTTAGAGTGGATGTATTCAAGCAGGATAGTCGCGACATTTGCGCAAATCACAAGGGTAACACCGTTTAGTGCTTTGGGTGACAAAGTATTATTGCCGGAAGAGAAGAGTTGTCAGGTAATCGATACGCCTGAGGTTGTGTCAATCAAATTTGTGCTCCGTGGCGGATGCTGCATCGGCGTCACTGTACCGTAAAGCAGGGATTTCAGCTCCTCGATCTCAAGAATGAGATCGGTTCCTGGGATCTGCGAACCTCAGGCTCGCGGGACAGTGCTTTTGCCGTCGGAACAGTGCAGCGCATAAATAAGTATTGGGTGGTAAAGATGGTTTTGGCTGTTGTGATCGGTAGATAAGACAAAACAAATCAAGATGATAAAATCTGTCATCGCTCAGCCAAAATAGCTTCCATGTAAATCGAATCCGGAGCGGTAAAGCTAGAGGGGGCAACTACTGATGTGGCAGACCAAAAGTGCAGTCCCTAGTCGCCCAACCAAGAGTTTCATGTTCATATCGGCCCCAAAGTGGAGGTCCCCTAGGTCCATCTTGCGAGGAGATCGATGCATTACAAAACATGGCGGGCAACCAGTAGCAGCGATCCGTATGCTGCAATTTAGACAGTGTGTAGCACCTAGTTACCTATTACGGGTAAGGTTGCCTATGAAGTTATCAGTAAAAACCAATCTAGTCTTGTATTCGGATGGAAATGGGTCAGTTAGACTGCAAGTTGTAGACTAAAAAAGGCATATACAGTGCATCAGGAATACCTACCAGTGCTTTGCTTTCAAGTAACCGCAAGTGGTTGGAGTCATCAACCTAGGTTGCAGCAGGGACGCTAAAACTCCCATGGGACCCATAAGTCACTATTCTACGCGAGCTTACATACTGAAATCCAAATATAAGGATGTTTCCATGCCAAATAAATCTAATCACCGTTACGAATGTCCTCTACAGTCTGTGGTGTTATAAATACTGGGTATGCGATGCCTCTGCGTGTAATGCATGTCAATACATTGCCCAATTGAATGTAACCTCGAGGTGGGCAGTCGACGGCACAGAGAAAAAGCCGCGCTGTGTTAGTGCGTGTCATGTTCTTGCATGGGATCCTTTGGATAGGTTTTACCAATGGTTGTCGGTCGGTTCCCGATTGCGTAGGCGCGGAAATCCTGGCATTGGCTTTAGCCGGCGCGCGACTAGTGGTGGTCACGTTGCATCAAAGAGTCGGCAAGAGGTATCAGCGGGCTTTCGGTACCTTTCTCTTACGTCAATGCGTAAGAAAACGCGGTGGGGTGCATCGAAAGTGCGAAATTAGTGATATTCTCAGACTAGACATGATGATCATGACTCAACTCCATCTGACAATAGTAATGGCCCTGACTACCTACCATCCGGTCACACCAACCCTCGTTTTCAAGATGTTTTCTGGGATATGAGAACCAAGCAACTAGATCCATCGTACTTAGGTGCACGGGACATAGTTGAAGCAATCTTAAGGTAGCCCATACTGCCATAAGACAGCCGGGTAGATCATCAAGGAGAGTCATTAGCTTAGAGCCAACTCTATCCGCTACACCTTAGTGACATGTGCGGTATTGGAGGATGAGGTGCAGTTTGGTCAAGCAATCCGTCGTCGCCATTTATGACTTAGTAGTATAAGCAACTCAGAGTTAAATCCGAGAACATGTAGGATCTGGAAAACATGCGTGCTGCTGATAAACTCCAATGAGATTAAAGCGTCGAGATGAAGCCAATTGAATCCAGATATTTCAATGGAGGACAAGAATAATTAAATGATAATATAGGAAAAGGAAAAGTTAGTATAAGAGGCAATCGTTGGGCAATAACCGCGTTGAGTAGATAAAAAATGAATGCGTAACACGTAAAACTCAAGAAATACACAAAAGAGGCATACTCTTAGAGCAAATGCACAAGCCTTGATAATCAAATCATTCAGAGAGAGCTTGAGACCAATGCGCCTCCTGAGTTGGGAACGCAATTCCAACACTTTGTCCACATCGACTGTTGTTCTAACGTAAGCATGCGGAATGTTGGATTTCGATTCTGTTAGGCGTTTTGCGATCGTCTGTCGCATGTTTGTCAGTGAGATGTCGGTGAACACAGGCCCAGTGGCGCCGGTAGGAGCAGCAGGTGTCGGTAGAGTCGCGGTGGTCGGGAGAACTGGGGAACTCGGAGGTGACGGCTGTTCCGGAGGTATAGTCCTCGCTTCCTGTGGATGACGGGCGATGTAAGACAGTACATCCCTAGAGGAGATGGCAAAAAAGAGGAATAGGAGGATAGAGTGCGGCTCATTCTGATAACAGTATCATTAACATCACAAGATAGCTGAATTAGAGAAACATGACTCAGCCAGTGTGCCGCAATAAAAAATGAAAAAAGTGAGATGCAAAATATTAAATAAAAATCAAAATAGTAATGAATGGCTTAATATCATATAGCGTGCCAGACGTGAGAAAGTGGTTGGACAGAGGATAAGTAGAAGGAGAGGGACAAAGAAACTTGCGACGCAAACACCATTGCGGCGGCCCACTCTTCGCCAGGTAAAACGTGTCCACCGTCCTTCAGACTCAAACCCGGTAACTGGGAGACAATAATCAACGCCAATTTCGAAGTGAGGGTCTTCATTACTCTCGACCAAGTCATCGCTTGGCCTCCCTTACACTTCTTACATCCACATCCCCGGTGCACAAGCAGCACACTTGGCGGGAGTCGGTGTGTTGGCATGCGTAACACGTAGCTCAGCCATCAGAGCCTGGTGCGTGATATAACGATGCCGAACGACTCACTGGAGCTACGTGCACCAATACACAACGTCGAACACGCCCATTGCTCATGCGGTGCTCCCACCAGACGTGAGCTAAGCTGCGAAGACAGCGATAATCCAAAGTAACTGGCCTCGTCATGTCCATTGATCTGATGGGCCAGGTTCCACAACCGTGCAGGAGGGTTGTACGGACGGCTGCATTGTAAATTGTGTGCTTCAGGGCGAGAGTGATCTTGCGCGGGCTCCAAAGATGATGGAGATTGGGAAAAGCGCCTCGAGCTTCTACTATACGATTCGTGACATGTTCTTCTATCCTCCTCAGATAACGGAATTTCTGGACACCCCCGCAGATCACCACCAAGAGTCAGCGCAGGAGTGGATACCGGCCATTATCGGAAGTGTTTGTATTTCGAAGTTGCAGCACACAGCACGAAACAAATACTATCCAGTGTTAAGATACCAAGTATTGTTTAGCACGCTTAGGAGCTGTCATAGATAAGGGGAATGTTGTCGGCGTACTCCGAGTCAAGAAGTCGATCTCTTGGGAGCAGTTGTACACCACTGTCGGTCGTTTTCAGTGAACGCAGTTTCCACGACTTCGTCAATGTAGTAGTTAAAAATGAATGACGATAGCTGGCAGCTTTGTCTCACCCCATGAGCGGTGACATTTTACCAGCAGCCCTCACTCCGCCCGAACTAGGTGCATACAGCGCCTTACACTTACACATTTATCGGGAACACCATTCCTGAGTAGACAGTCCCAAAAGGCACACCGATCCACCGAATCGAAGGTGCATTTGATGACAATAAACACGACTAAGGTGGGTCGAGAATAAATATGGCGTTGTTCCAACAAATGAAGCAAAGTATACATGTAGTCAATACAACCTCAATTCAGACGAAATCGGGCGTTCTGCCAGCTAATCGGACTTTTGCGAGTGCCCTTCAGTCAGTCCATGGAGGATGACAGAGGGATTTCGAAATTGAAGGAACTCATATAAACATGGAGAAAAAGAAGTGGTAAAATGCGATTCTGGAACGCTCACTGTGTGCAATGGAGGGGAATATCATCATCACCAACAGCCGTACATGAACCAGTTGGACTGATGCTTCGCTGCCCTACAACCATGAAGACCAAAAGGAGGGAGAGAAGGGGAATCTAGCGAAAAATCATAATGCCTTAAACATACACTCAGGGTCATAGCGCCCACATCTTGTCAACAACACACCGTCACAAATAGCTGATTGCCGTGAAAAGATAAAATGTCATCGGAGAAACGACTTCCTTGAAGCGTTTACTTCCCGGCGTCATAATCAACCATTAGTCCGCTGACAACTCAGGACCAAACAAACCATAAAGAGGCAATCCGACAAAGAGACGACAGCAGACACACCATGTCTTGTAGAGTTTCAAGCCAAGCATAAGGCGTCAAGTGGACTCCAGTCTGGAAGGTGACACGGACCGACGGCACCCAGTTTGATCGTCAGTGACTTCACTTCCCGTTGCCAAATTAACTTTTGCCCATCTCAAGCTATGCACCACCTTATATCTGGTGAATAAAACATCCTTCCCGGCAAGCGGTGACCAGGTAAACGTAATACGTGCCCAAACCAACACAATTTATTCAGTGATATCTGTTGATCTGAGAAACTAACTTGTTTATTACTGTCTAACACTGTCCCAAGCATATCATCGTTGCGGACACGCTGCTCCCATCTGATACCAACAATACTCCGCAGAGAGCGACGATCAAAGACTTGAGGGCAACTCAGATCCTCAGATGGAAGAGGGCATCTCACTCCTATAGAGTAGGACGGCCTACATGTGGCCTTGTAAGCATGGAACCTCTCTCTGACACCAAAGATGTCGCAGAGTAGAAAAGATAGTTCTAACTTTTACAGTGCGTGAACTGACTTCAGTCGTTATGCGCACATCGCTTCTGATGCAACTGCCTCGAGTTAATTGCTATCAATGATCAAGGAGTCATCAAGTGGCTGGCGATCTTTTAACAATGCTTTGCAATTGGAAGGTGAGAAGCGCGTGCCAAATGATGTGACCACTCTGGAGGTTATACAGGGTAACTGGGTCGCCGCAACATCGTTAAGAAGCAAGACAATATTGTCCGCATAATCAAAAGCAACTAGCTTTGCACCAGGGAACACATAAACGCCTGCATCGTGAGGCTCCGCAAGATGACACACCATGAGGCTGTCCACAACGAAGCTGAACAAAAGTGAGGAAGTCGGACAACCCTGACGAACGCTACTTGTTGTCCAAAAGGCATCCGACACATCCCCATAGACAATGACAGGGCCTGTTGTGTTCGAGTACAGTGCACATAGAATGTTCATATATTTCATGGAAAGATTTTTTCGCACAAGTGACTTGAACAGGATGGACCGATAGACTGAGTCGAACGCGCTCTGGAAGTCTATGGACAAAGCTATTGTCGGCCTGCAGTACGTGTGACGCTGCTCTGGCACCTGCCGCAGAATGAATATATGGTCTATACAGCCCCATCCAGGGGGAAACCTGCCTGCTCTTACCTAATCCGAGATTCCCGTTTCACAGTGAGGCGACGAATAAGGATTAAGCCCAGTAACTTCGTCACCACCGGCGTTAGGCTAATATCCCTGTGGCTAGCACTATCGGTGCGACTGCCACTATAATCGATACAAACAAGGTAGCTCAGACGGCCTCTAACTTCCAGACATGTTTGCTCAAAAGGTCAGTGCTTCGCAGTGGACTTCACAACTATCCTTAAACAGTGCGAATGAGGGGGAATCTGGGTCAGCAGTATGAAAATGACTACGGGCTGTGATCGCGTTTCAGACCTTAGCGTCCGACGGAACCCCCGAACCAACCGGTCATAAGTCAGCTTGCAAAACGTTCAGAAGCAGGAAAACAACTGAACTGTTCTTGAAAGTGTTCCGCCGAACGAGCCATACAGCGGCCTTATTACGAATCATGGTATATGCGCTGTCTCCGATCGTCCCGCTGACGTCTGGTTTTCTGGAACCAGTGGCGCGGATAAGTCGGAAGAACTGCGATAACTGTCTACCGCGCTTGCTTCCTCCATTTCCTGAGCCCGACTAGTTCACCTTCTTTCTTGTCAGCAGGCAGGGTCCGATACAGTTTGCGTCTAATAGTCCGCTTGGTCACATCGTGCTCAGAGCCATCAGGGGGGTTTCTTCTGGATGCCAACAGGTCTATCGACCTCTCAGATATCCTGTCACCGAGGCGGTGACAATCGACAGCACTACAAACAGATGCTCCTGCGTCGTGCATAGCGACCGAGATCCTATTCCATTACAGCTCTATGTCATTGGGACAAGAGAACAAAAGTTTGGTACGCAGGGCATCCTAGTAAGCTTGCCTGACAGAGCGCTGTGATAACTTCACAGTTGCCAATCGAGGGAGACGCTTGGTATACCTCCCGGTAAAGTTCATAGAAGAATAGTGTAGCAAGACATGATAAGAGTCGACGCAAGTACTCCGGAACGAGCGACAATCCAGAATGGAGCCAAACCAACTGGAACATAAGGCAATTGATCTATTATAATCCATAGATGGCCAGCTACAGGAGGACGCCAAGTGGCACTTCGACACCCATTGTCTAAAAGCAGTGCTCTGTACATCGCTCTAACAGACTCTCGCCGTTGTCCGTCCCTTCGGATTTAAGTCCAAAGTTACCACCTAGCTAAACTACTGAGGAGCTCAGAGCTGCGGTGACAATCCTAGCTTGGCCAGTGGTTGCCGCATTAGCATTTCCGGACGCGTGATATCAATACCTAGAGGACAAACTTGGGACAGTTAATTCAAGCACTCAGAGAGCGGCATTGATCTGTTTCGGATACATAAGATAGGCCAACGTGCTTGCGAGTGTCGCCTGTTAGCCTATTTGTGTTAGAGTGCGAAAGTTGAATGTCGCCAGGGAAACTGCACAACGTGGAATTAGAAGCTGTTGGCGGGAAGGCAACTGCATATGGTATGACTCCATTGACACTGTGGTTACTGTCAAGATGGGAATTATAGAAGGGAGGTTAGTAATGGTGTTGAGATGGAAGGAAGAGAAACAGGTGGAAAAGAACGAACGGAGGCGCCAGCAGTAGCATATCTGAAAAAGTGGTCATGGTTTTACGTGGACTGAGATACTTCCAGGGCGCACAGATCTAGATAAGAGAACCGTTAGGGTCCTCAACGAAAGCCTTTAGCTCAAAAGCCTGTTCGCAAAGCACAGAATGTGGCAAGGATTCGGTTTTAGAGAAGTGGACGCTAACCCTTTCCCAACCCACAACCTGGAGGACCAGGAGACTGAGTTCGTCTGAAGTCCAACAACTAACTAAGCTGGTAGGAGTAGCTTTCAAGGAGCCCAACGGCCCCATCCAGTATAGCTGAATAGGTCAACGAGATACGCAAACCGTCGCATCACGTTTGCGTCCAGTCTCGTTGCGATGGTGGAAGAGGGGAGTATGACA